ACCTATGCCTCCCTCTTGGCAGAAGTCCTACTTAATGAGTTCTTTGAGCATCTAGATTGCCAGTGTTTTTTAAGAGATTTTATTTATTCATTTTTAGAGAGATAGGGAGAGGGAGGGAGAAAGAGAGAGAGAGAAACAATGTGTGAGAGATACATCAATATGTTGCCTCTTGCATGCCCCCTACTGGGGACCTGGCCCACAACCCAGGCATGTGCCCTGACCGGGAATCAAACCAGCAACTACCCGGTTTGCAGGTTGGCGCTCAGTCCACTGAGCCACACCAGCCAGGGCTGATCACCAGTGTTTTGAACTCTGCATCTGATAGGTTGGTTATCTCTCTTTCATTTAATTATTTTTCTAGGGTTCTGTTCTTTCATCTGGGCCACATTTCTTTGTCTCCTCAATTCAGCATCTTCCCTGTCGAATTTTTTTCTGTGTATTGGGTACAGCTGTTTTGACTCCCCGTCTTAAAGCACGGACTATGGTAGAAAAGGCACCTGTGAACTGTGTGGGGTGGAGACATAGGTAATCACCGGGAGGGGACAACCTGCTTCACCATGTTGTGGCTCTGTGGCAGGAGGGCTGAGAGAGGGGACAGTGCCACTGCCTGGCTTCTGGAGGTGTGCCTGGCTCTGGCCCTGTTTCCAGCCACGTCACTTTCTCCCCGTGTGAGACCGGAGCCTTCCAGCTGTTGCCCAGGTGCTGAATCCCAGAGCGGGTGGGTGTGCAGAAGTTCCAAGTTCGTCTGGGTCCTGAAGCGGAGTTTTCAGAAAACCCGGCGGTTTCTTTTGCCGCCCCAACCCCCACTGGTGTTTGCAGCCAGAAGTGACAGGGAGTTATCTTCCTGGCACTGGAACCCTGGGCTGTGTATACACAGTCTGGCCTGGGGCTGGGATCCTGTTCTTCTGAGGTGTCCCTCCCGGTTTTTATCCAACGCTCGTGAACGTGGGACCACCTGGCCCGCCGCCTCTTTGGGCCACACAAGGTCTCTGTGCCTCCTACCCGTCTGCAGGAATGCGGCTTCTTTAAATCCTTGTTTGTCAGACTTCCATACAGCTCCATTTTCTGACAGTTCTGGGTGGTATTTGTTTTGTGGTCTAACTGTAATTTTTTCTGCAGGTGTGTGAGGAGACAAAGTGGGTTCGCTTACGCCTCCACCTTGACAGGACGTCTGAGCTCTGGCGATCTTGCTTTCTTCCCTGGTGGAATCTCGCTGATGTGACTGAACTAAAATAAAGACACGAGGACATGAAGAGTCAAAGATGGGAACAGCCATTTCTATTTGTCAGTAAAGCCGTGCGTGTGTGAAGGTGAGTTTAATTTTGGCGGTTTGTCTTCCAGGGGCTCCAAGCATTCGTCCTTCCTGCTGCCGCCCACTGGAGGTGGCCCTGCACCCTCACACGGTCCCACTGCGACCGGTGACCACAGGGGGGAGCTGCTCCTCTTGGTGTTTCTGCAACACACCGGGAGGCCGCAGGGATCCCCCGGAAACAAGGCAGGAAGCCAGACAGGACCTCTGCCGATGGGTGGCTGAGATTTCCATCGTCCCTCCAGCTGCCTCGCTGCCTGAGATGTTACTTTTGTGCTGATCGAGGGTCCAATGTGCTGTTCTGGGCAATCGGTGAATGAAAATGGGTGAAGCTTGGGGCAGAGCTATTACTTAACAACTTTTTTTGTAAGGGAAGAAATTTTATTTTTATTTTTTTAAGATTTTATTTATTTATTTTTAGACATAGGGGAAGGGAGGGAGGAAGACAGGGAGAGAAGCACCAGTGTGTGGGTGCCTCTCACGTGCCCCCTACAGGGGACGTGGCCCACAACCCAGGCCCTGATTGGGAATCGAACCAGCAAACCTTTGGTTCGCAGGCAGGTGCTCAGTCCGCTGAGACACACCAGCTGGAGCTACTTAACAGCTTTAAATGTAACACGGATGGTCACCGTTAACATGGTATCATCACTCATGGCACATGTGTCCTCATGTTCTGCAGGGCACGTCCGAGGCATGTGCCCTGACCAGGAATCAAACTCAGTGTTGTATTAACACAACTCAGGAAAGACAGAGCGTGGCCGTGAAAAACCTGTTTGTGCCGCACAGACTTTGAAGGGGGGTCCGCACACTCGACGTGAGGCACCTTCTTCTCACACTGATGTCATGTAGTTGTAATGTTATAACATGTTATGTTGCACTATGTTATGTTATGTTATATGAACAGGACGACTTGGCGGTTCGTTCCTCTCAGTCTTCGGAGGTGCAGCTTGGGTTTGGATGGAAGGAGCAGAAACCCCTTCGACTGCTCAAACGGCTGGGGTTCAACCCACCAGAACGCTGCGCATCACTGAGGCTGAGACTGGGCCTCTGGAGCTTTAAAGTGACCCTGGTCCCAGGTCACGCCCTGGCCCCTCCTGTTCACTGTCCCTCCCCCGGCCCTGGTGGTGTGAGGCTCTGTGCCTCTGCGAACGGCTGTTCAGTTTTGAGAGGAGCCTGGTGCAGCCGTGACACCACCGTAGACTGAGCAAGCGAGCGGTTTCATTTCTCTTTCTTGGGCTGCACTTGAAACCGCTGTTTAATAAGCACACGGATGTTACTCTGTGTCAGACACTTTGTCTGACCTCGGGGGGCTCTTGCCGCTGACCCCTTCCTGCGCGAGCGCTGCTCGGGCCTTGTCGCCATGCCCGTGACCTCGTGATCTGCGTCTCCTCAGGGACTCCTGCCGGCAGAATGCTTTCATGGGCTTATCGGCCATTTGAATACCTTTCCCTTTTTTAAAATCGTTAGTTGTCTCAGTTCCCCCCCCTCGACCCCCCACCTCCACTCCCACAGTCAGTCTCCACCGTCTTTTTGAAGTGTTTTTAGTCTCAGGAAATGTTCCTTGTGTGCTTCAAAGGTGTGTGTGTTCTGCAATTTTGGGTGAACTATTCTGTAAACGTTGGCCGGCCCAGTGGGTTGATAGTGCTGTGTGTCTTCCAAGTCCTTCTGATTTTTGGCACCTTGGCCCCTCCTTCCCCCTGCGCCCAGGGACATCATCCTGCTCGTGGACTCCCTGAAATGCCCTCTGACCCACTGCCCCTGAACTGCGGGCCCTGCCAGCTCACGGGGGCCTTACTGGGCACAGAGCACAGTCCAGGGGGCCAGGGCAGCGGGACCCAGGAGCACGGCCACCTCGGTGCCGGTCTCGGTGCCCAGACCGCCCGGCCGCCTGCTGGTGTGTCCTGCAGGAGCAGCTCCGGCCCTGCTCACTTTCTCTGGGTGGACGGGGGCGCTGCCACCTCCATGGCTCTCCGGGCCACGTCTCTGTTCAGCCTATGCAGCCACATTATTTAAATTCTCTCCTGTCTTCCCATCCCTCTTCACCGAGCTCCTCCCAGCCTCTGAATCTGGCTCTGCTTTGCCGGGGGACAGGGTCAGTGACACAGAGTGAGGACGAGGCTGGTGGACACCTGTGTTCCTGCCATGCTGGCTCCTGCCGTCAGTGGAGGGTGCTTGGGTCACCGGGATCGTGACAGATGGCAAGGAGGGTGTGGCTGTTGCCAGGGTTCTGCACGGCCCCTGAAGGCAGGACTGTGCCCTTCCAGCCAAGACGGGCTGGTCTGACGCCTCCATTTATTGGTGCTGACAGCAGTGCGTCCTAAGTATATCCTCGGATAAAGTGACCTCTAGCAGTCTGGGGCTTTGTGAGTAGCAGTGAGCGACTCCTATTCTCAAGCTATTTTGGGGTTATTAATCTCCAGGTTCCCCTGGGTGCTTGTCAGCGGAATCTCCTGAGTCACCAACAGTGACGGGAGTCTGGGTGGTGCCCAAGGAGCTGTGTCGTGAGGGACACATGCGGTGCTCTTGCCACTCATTCACTCTGGACTTTCTGTGCATCCATCCAGGCCAGGCAGTCAGCCCTAGAAATGCTGTCTGAGGGACCAGTGGTGCACAGGAGGTCCCGGCTGCTGCGGTCAGAGCCTTGTCTCCAGGGAACTCTCTGGAGAGGCCCCCCGCTGTGGGCAAAGTCATGTGCGCTGTCCTCTCCCCCTGCCTTTGCCAACTCAACGGAGGGTCAAAACAAAGCAGAACCCAAACCAATGAGCAGCTAAACCTGGAGATGACTTGAGACAAGGGGAGACCCCAGAGCAGCCCCAGCTGATCTCCGGCCCCAAACCACATGCTCCGTATCACGGGGTGGATGCAGTGGCCACAGCTGGGCGCCTGCCGGTGAGAATGTGGGCGTCCCTGCTGGAGGCTGGGTCCTCACTGGCAGCCTGGCCTTCACTGTGTGCCCTGCCCCTGCCCACCCCGGGGGTCGCAGACACAACTGGGGGGCCAGGAGGGACGAAACTTCCAACGGTGAACAGGAGGGTGTTTGGGGAAGCACAAAGCTGTATCTGGCATCACATCAGGCATCATCCTGGGGTTGACATTTACGGACATTTTTCTGACCAAAGGTGAAACCAACTTGGCAGGTAGGCAGCCAGAAAACCTTGTGGTGCAGCTGAGTTGATTTTGATGACTTGTTGCAAGTGAGTAACATCTTGTTCAGCTTTTGTAAAAAAAGGTTATATTTATTTTTAGATTGGGGAAGAGAGGGAGAAAAAATCAGTGTGTGGCTGCCTCTCACCCGCCCCCCCCATGGGGACCTGGCCTGCAACCCAGGCCTGTGCCCTGACTGGGAAGCCAACTGGTGACCCTTTGGTTCGCAGGCCGGCACTCAGTCCACGGAGCCACGCCAGCCAAGGCCTGTTCAGCTTTAAGTTAAACTTTAAGCCTATTGCCCTGGCTGGTGTAGTTCATGGATTGAGCACGGGCCTGCGAACCAGTCACGGTTCGATTCCCAGTCAGGGCACATACCTGGGTTGCAGGCCGGTTCCCTGCAGGCCAGCTCCCAGCAGGGGATGCACGAAAGGCAGCCATACATTGATGTTTCTCTCCCTCTCTCCTTCCCTTCCCCTCTAAAGATAAATAAATAAAAATCTTAAAAAAAAATTTTAGGCCTATGAAGAAAATTTTGCACAAACAATCCAATTACCTTGGGTTTTATTGGGCACCTACTTTGTGCTGGATAAGCAAACCCAATGACACGCCGCTCAACCGGAGCGAAGCCGGGCGAGAGCACCCGCAGAGCCCGTCATGGCTGCAGTGGCTCTGCAGGCCCCACCCATGCGTGGCCCCTGTGGGCCACTCCTTCTCTGGGAGCTCAAGCGCAGTGCATCCCTGCTCCACGCAGGACTCAGGCTGCTGTCTTGTCTTCAGTGCACAGGGACTCGGTGCCCAGCAGGGACGACCGTCTGGTGGCCTTCCGGGGCGCCTGCAGCACCCTGTGCCTCAACTCCAGCTTCTGAGCCCATTCTCCACGGAGCCTGGGAGGGCGGTAATTTTGGCACTGTGAGTCACCTTGCCGGGGCCGTGTGACAGCCAGGCCTTGTCTGTTGACACCATGCACATGTGTGAGCACAGCCTTCCCCTCCCTGGGATGTGTCCCCACTCAGCCAGCATCCGTGACCTTGTGAGGCCTCAGGGCCAGCCACCTCGGGGTCAGGGCTGTGTCTGTGGTGGAGAGTCTCCCTCAGGACCCTTGCCCTAGAGGGAAAGCCCTTTGCCCCAGGAAGTAGCTTCTGGAAACTTCTGAGCCCCAGAGAGGCTGAGCCACCTCCCAAACGCTCTGCTTGGCCGAGGGCCTGGCTCATCGCTGAGGCTCATGTGCTTACAGAACAGCATGTGGGGGCGCGGTCGGCCTGGGCCCTGTGGCTGCTGCCCTCCCCCTGTCCCACGGTCATGACCACCTCGGGCAGCAGAACATGCTGCCACCACAGTGCAGGGAGGGTTGGCCCAGCCACAGGCCTCCCCTAGCCCTGGGCGTCTGCCCACAGAAAATGACCACCTGGCGCCTCTTGGCCCAAGGGTGTGGTTTGGCATTAGAGGGTGGGGGGTGGGTGCCCGGCTCTGGCCAGCCTCTGGGCCCGGTGGCAACTTGGTAAAAGCACCCACGCATCCAGGGGCCTGAGTGAGAGACCGGGACAGCAGTGTCCATGAGAGGTGGCCTCACGTGTGATGTACGGCCACCATCCTGCCTCGCCAGGCCCTGGCTGCTGACTGAGTGCCCCAGGGCCAGACATTTAAAAGGAGACGACTTCCAGGAAAGCGGGGTGTCGGTCGGGATGTCCTCAGGGGCTGCCACTGTCCAGGGAACAGGGGTGTCCTGGCTGTGGCCTGTGGTCCCGATCACCAGCCATGTCTTCCCAGATGGGCACAGAACATCCCACCCCACAGGCCTGTCCCCTCAGCCCAGGACCTGACCACGTACCCAGCTGGAGCCGGTGGCCCCTCACTGTTGGACCCAGAGCTCACTCCTGGGTCCTGTACCCCTGGGCAGAAGACCCAGAAGGTTCCAGCCTGATGGCATGAGAGGACAGGGACGAGCCCTGAGACCCTAGGAGCTGGGGCGGGGTCACACTATGTGGAGAGGATGGCACTGTGATCCCCCTACACACCCTCGGCTGGGGCAGGGGTCCTGAATGGCACAGCCCATCCCGCAGCCACAAGATGACAGGTGGGGGAGGGGCCAGCACAGCAGCCAGACCTCTGGTGGCTGGACGGTCAGTCCACCTGGATCGGGATCCTCCTTCCCAACCTGCTCCCCGGGCAGCAGCCGCTGCTGCTATTTGGGGAAGAGGCTGTGACCACTGTGGCCTCACTGGCCATCTGAGTCCTTGTCTAGGTGTGCACTATGTGCTAATCCGCCCTCTCAGCCGTCTCTGGGACCAGACACCCTGGGTCTGCTTGGGGTCACCTGGGAGGCCCCCTCACCCCCGAGGCCCTTGGGCGCAGCTGCAGAAAGAGAGGGGTAGGCTTTGGGTCTGCCGCCATGCAAGTGTGTGGGCAGGAGCAGAGAGAACTGATGACTCTCAGTCTTGCTCTGGATGGGAGCGGTTGTCACAACCTCAGACCAAAGCAGGACATGCCCCCACAAGGGAGTGTGAGGATGGAGGGGGCACGGGACCCCGGGTGTTCTCTCCGCTTACTTAATGCTGGGCCTAGATGCTGAGTTTAATGTGCGCTGTTTCCGGTGGAGAGTGTCTCCAACTGCGACCTGAAGTCTGGGCGTGACACGCTTTCGTCAGGGAGTGGGGGGCCGAGTGCTGGAGCGCGGAGCCCCCCTCCCACCTGCTCACCTGTCCAGGGCGCTCCTGCGGACACGCTCGTCCTCGCTCCGCAGCTGCTGGGCGTGCAGCTGCGCCTTCTGCTCCCAGAACGCCTTCAGCCCTTCTGCGTTGCAGGCCACGCGTCCCTGATGCTTCACGGAGGATCCTGCCCTCATCTCCTGGGACAGGGAAGACCGACAAGGACGCAGCTGTTCGCAGCGCGTTCTGAGAGCCCCGGCGCGCCAGCGGTTAACAGCAAGGGCGCTGGTCCAGCCCGAAACACCAGACTGTGTCCGGCTTAATGAGCCCTTAGCCGCAGGTTCGGTAGAATGTGGTAACGTGAGGCGGACGGACAGCCAGCTCTCTGGCACTGAAAGGACCGAGCTACCAGAACACCGGTGGTTTCAGAGCACAGACCCCGGGCCAAGGCGGGTTGTGACTGAGGAGCCGCTCCCACCACCCCTTTGAGGAGAACTTGTCCCTGTAACGCCGTGTGGGGCGCCCTGGGACAGCCGTCCGCACCTCTCTCGTTCCGCGAGGGCGCCCGCCCGGCCCCGCCCCAGGCCTGCGGATGCTCTCTGCGTTCTCGGAAGAGGCGACCGGAGGACCCGGGTTCTCCGAATGAAGGCAGGCGGCGACCACTGTCTGCCGAGGCCCGAGGCCCACGCTGTGCGGGAACTCTGCTCTGTGGGGCGCTGCTCAGTCCCGTCAGTCCGGGACGGAAAGAGCGCGCTGGCGATTCCCAGGTAGGGAGAAATCCTTGCCTCGGATGCACAGGAAGGTCCCGAAACCGGCTCAGGCAGGACAGAACCCGGACCGGCCGGCCATTCCTAGCGTTCCGCGGGACGACCAGTCGTACCGACGCGCTCGGCCACGGCCGTGACCGTGCGGCTGCAGAAGCAGGTGCGCCGGTCCAGGGGCCGAGAAGACCGCGGGGAGGGGGTCCGCAGAGGGTGGCGGAACACGTGGGCCCCTCCGCCTTCCTTCCAGACGCCCCGTTTCCCACGAGGCACTGAGGTCCGCGCGCCTGCGTCTGTGCGGAGTGGGCGCTGCGGGCGAGTTAAAGGAAGGCGGACCCGGGTGAGAGGGGCGCTGACGCCGCCCGCCACGCTGGCCCGGTCTCGGCGGGAACCTCGCGAGAGAAGCGGGTTCGCTGAAACCGAGTGGAGACAAAGCGGCTCCTGGCGCAGCCCCCGCGCAGCCCCGGCCCCTCCGCAGCGAGAAACAGCAGGTAAGGGGGGGCGGGGAGCCCGCGGGGGCCCAGCGAGAAGACACCTGAAAGCAGGTGCGCAGTGGACGGGCGGCCTAAATATAAGGACGGTCCGCCGCTCCTCACCGGGGCCTTTTCATCACGAGCCTCCGTGGGAAGAGTTATCGTCAAAGTCACATCACTCTCGGACAGAGCTTACTTTTCAGTCCCTTTCTAGCCAAACTGGGAACCCTCTGGGGTGCGACTCAGGCCCCGCGCTCCGGTGACTCCTGCCGCTGCCTCTTCTGTGGGTTTGGTGCCCGGCGCTCGAAGACCCGCCTTGCGCCCCGCTCCGCCTGGAGATCGTCCAGCCCAGCAGGCAGGTCCCGCGGGCGCGCGCGCGTCCGTCCGCTCCGCATCCCGAAATGGGGAGGGCAGCTCGGCGGGTCTCCTTCCTGTGCACGGCTCCCTCCCGACAAGACTGCGGTGCGACAGGGGCAGAAACGCCCCCTCTCGGTGGCTGATCCCAAGAAGCCCCCGAGGCTGGGGTTTTGCAAAACAGCCGCGCGCACCCACCCACCTTGACTTCAACAGGTTTGTGAGGGTTTTCTTCAGTGATGGTCTGCAAACAGCGCGTCCTTACGCTCCCGGGAGGCAGCGGGGTGGTCAGCAGCCCTTTTCTCGTTGTTTAGCCTGTTGTGAAGCTTTTATATTGAGCACCGGCTCCTTGTGAGATCCGAAAACCAGCGCCGAAGAGGGAATCTGGGAGAACACGTGTGGCCCTCCGTCGGCTCTAACTCTTCCGTCTCCTGAGCTTCCCAAGTCCCGCCCGCGGACCAGGACCACCCACTGGCACCTAAGAAATCAACTTGTGACGCTCCGAGTAGGCGTTTCCCGCCCCAACCCCCAAACCGAACAAGGCGTCGGAGTCCCGTGTCTGCGGACTGGCCCCTCCACTCCGACCTCCGGGACCCCGTGCGCCCCGCCTTCCTGCGCTCCGTCTGCCCGTGTGGCCACCTCCTGGGGCCCCTGCTGCAGCGTCTTCCTGCTCCCCCTGGGACCTGGTCCCCGCGTTAAGCGGAGACAGCGCCCCGACCGTTAGGGTTATCGGGGAGGGGGCGGTGCGGTCTGACCAGGGGCGGGAGGGGGCTTGTTCCCGGGGAGATGGAGACACGGGGCGCAGCGCCTCCGCAGACCTACGGACCTGGCACAGAACCCAGCGCAGCGTTTCTCCAGCGCCCGCCCGCGCATGCGCGGCGTCCTGAGGAGGGTGTGGGCCGCAGCCCAGGGCTGGCCTGCGCCTCGCACCTGCCAGACCCCCGCCTCTGCGGAGTTGCTGCCCTTTCCCACCAGCTGTGCGCAGCTCTCGGCACCTGGGAGCGGGCGAGGACGTTACCTGCCTCCCCCTCGTAAGGCACTGCATTGGTGGGCGATGGGGTCCCTCAGGGTCGCTCACTGGCTCCTGGGGACAGCGCAGGCGGCGCAGCACTGAGACGCTGGCCCTGGTTGCCAGGGGGTCTCTCCCAAAGGCCAGGAGGCGCAGGCAGGCTCTTCAGACCCACAGATGCGGGTTGCACAGTGGCTGGCGAGCTGTCCGCTTCCTCCCTTCGGACTTGTCCTCGCGGACTCTACGTTCAGGGCAGGCGTTCCGGGAGTCGGGAATGCGCTCGGAGCAGGGCACCTTCCTCCGACTCTGAACCTCCCTGGGGCTCCCCACCCTCCTTGGGGACAGCAGCTGCCCCTGCACACAGTCTCCCCAGGGGTCACCGGCTGGCTTTGATGACAGGGAAGCGGCAGTGGGAGCAGCTGGGCACGTCCTTCCTTCCAGAGCCAGCCCACCGTGTTGGGGGACTCCAGCCTGGGAGAGGGCGCCTCCCGTGAGCCTTAAACGGAGGGACACCTGCGGTGGGGCGGGGTGCACCGCTGTTCCACTCAGAGTGGGCCCTGCCGCCAGCAGGTGGCTGGTCAGCCGCGGTCCCGGTTCTACAGCCTGGCCCCCAGCTGCAGCTGCGGCATGGTTGCCCGTGGTCCACACGCGACCACAGGTCAGAGTGCATCTGCTGGCAGGCCCCGCCCCCCAGGCTTCGATGCAGGGACGTGCCACCAAGTTTCTTCCACTGGGTCAGCACGTGTGGCTTCTGCTCGGAGCTCCTTGGGGCTGGTGAACACACACACCACCCACTCCCCGGCTGCCCCACTCCGGGGAGATAAGCTCAGTGCTCCCGCCCCCCACCCTGCGGCCCCAGGTTCTCTTAGGGGTCTGGTGGTCTCATGTCCCTTAGAAAGAGTGACTTCCTAGATGAGACATCTGGTTGACCAGAGAGACCCTAGCCATGGGGCCCTCCCCTGTCTCTGAAGAGCTGGGACCACAGATGACACAGGTGGCCTCCCTGAGCCTGGCCCCCTGGACTGTCACTGGGGCCTTGGACGGCCCTATGTGCATGACCCCGAGTTCCTATCTGCAGACACTGCACCTGCACTTGTCCCCGAGGGTCTCTGAGGGACACCAAGGCAAGTGTCTCGTGCAGCCACTGGGGCTGCCGCCTGGTGGCACTTGCTGCTCGAGTCCTTTCTTGTTTCTCCTGCAGAGGAGTTTGGTCCTCCAGGTGGGAGGGGCTGGGGACCCGGGTCAGAGAAAAGAGGTTCCACCCTCTGTGCCCCCAGATCTTGGGGCAGGTAACTCTGCACAGGATGGGGACAAGGCTCAGAGGCCCCTGGCCAGACCTGGTCCCCCCGCCCCTGTGCTGCCTTCCCTGGGGAGCGTGCTAACATCCCGTAAGCCTGGCGATGTTGCTGATGTACAGGGTGGGGGCCACGCCTGGGACTCACTGCGCAGCCCGCACCAGAGTCCACACCTGACCCCCAACCTGAGCCCACAGCTGAGCCCCTGTGTAGCCTGAATGGCCAGGCTGGACCTAACTTAATGCAATGTGGTGAAAACCACCTCCGGAAACCAGAGTGGTAACAGCAACACTGAACATCTAGAAGGTGTCAGAGAGGAGACACGTTTTAGATGCAGCTGCTGCTAGTTCAGCCGAAGTTGGGGGGACTGAAACACGAACAGATTCCTGATTTTTGGTGAACTTTCTAGTCAAGGGCAGAGAACTCACTTTCTTGCACCCTGGGGAGTGGGTGCGGCAGATGGGGGCAGCGTCACCGTCCTCCTCTCCAGGTGGGGGCTCGCCCTGACCTTCCTGGCTGGGCCTTGCCTGTCTCCAGGGTGGACTTCAAGGAGGCCCCAGGGCGGAGGTGACCTCGTCCTCACTTATGACACACACACTGCGTCATGGCCAGTGTCCTGCTGGTACCAGGTGCCCCTGCTCAGGCCCCTCAGCAGGCACTGGGATGCCACCCGGTGTGAGCTGTCCCTTTTCTCTCCGTTGGAAAGTCGGAGGACAACTTGTGGACATCGACCCTGCAGCCTGGACGTGCTCACAAGCAGGGGTAGCCTGGCACTGCCTTCTAGAAGGTTCTAGGAAGTTCCACAGCTGGGTCAGGGCGGACCAGGGCAGATCCTTGATCTCCTCTGCTGTCAGGGCAGGTACTTGCCTCCAGCAACCTTGAGTGGCCTGGGTGGGACAACACTGAAAAATAAAATTGGTGTGAAATCCTACTCCAAGCAGTAAAAACTGTTCTAGTCCTAAGTATCTACCCCTTCAGGCATCGGTAAAGTGAATATTGCCTTTATTCTAATGTGTTTTGTCTGGATTCTACCACAGCAGGCCCTTCAGATGGGTGCCAGCCTCATGAATCTTCAGGTTTTCTCTTTCCCTACTGCATGCACTACTTAAGACTGTGCAGTTTGCTGTCGGTTTTGGTATGTAGCATTTTTATTATCATTCAGTTGAAAGTATTTTGTAAATGTGTTTTATTTGGGGGATTATTTAGAAGCGCATTTCATGACTCCTGCATATAAGAACTTTGTAGTTACCTTTTGCTACTAGTTTCTAAATTAACTGCAATGAGAACAAGAAGCATACTTTATACAGTTTCAAGCTGTTAAAGTTTATTGAAACGTGCTTTATATATGGTCAAGTTTAAAGTGCTCCAAGTGTGCATCTATGCTGCCATCTCGTGGGGATTTGGGGGAATGACACCTTAGCGCTGGTCCGCAGGAAAAGTGGTTGATTCCAGTGGAATATTAACGACTGTGACTTACAGTGGTATTTAGAAGCGTGTTTCATAACTGTCCATGTAAGGACCTATTAATTGCCTTTTGTTCCTGATTTATACACTCACAGCAGTGAGAGTAAGAATGATTATTTTATGTAATTTTTGTTCTTTGTTATTTGTTTAATCTTGCTTTATAGTCCATTATGGTCACTTAGGAAAACGTCCAAGTGTGGCTCTCTTCTCGTCTCAGGTGCATCATGGGAAGAACACCGTGGTGCAGGCCGGCAGGAAAGGTTCTCAGCTGTGGTGAGTGATCTGCGAATGTTACATGGGATGGTACTTAGTCATGGACGTTATTACTTTCACATACATGAACTTTGTAGTTCATTTTTCCTTCTCTCCACCCACATACAACCACGGTGTCTTTATGTCAGGTACCTGGGTGCCTCTTGTGGGCCAGACCTGTGTCCGTGTCTCAGCCGTGTCTGCGTTTGTGGCCAATGTCCAGTGTGTGTCGACATCCTGGCAGCATTGATGTGCCTCCCGTGTCCATGTCCCTGCCACGCTAATGTCCCAGCCAAAATCGTGATTGTGTCTCGGTCCCCTCTGCCTTGATGTCCCGCTGTGCCACCTGCGTGGGTGTCTCGGCTGTGCCACTTTCCCATCTTTGTCGAAGTCCAGGTTCCCCAGTGTCCCAGCCGCACTCCTCACCGTCTGCGTTGATGCCTCGGCCAAGTCAGTATGTGAGTGGCCCCACAGTCCTCTCTGTGTCGATGTCTTGGCTGTGTCCATGTCCTGTCCTGTCTGGCATTCATCCGTGCTCATGCACGTATTAACTGTTGAATGTCTTGTATTGATCTGATTGTTATTTTGATTATTAACCCACAGGTGTTAGAGCCGACAAGGTTTGTGGAAAATAATCCCTTTTTAATCCCCCACAGTTTTGAAAAGCTGGCAGTGTGGAACAAATGGTGAGACAGTACTAACTCCTGAACCTGTTGCAGCTGAGAGATCATGGGCATCTGCTCTCCAAGGTCAGCATCGTTTTTGTTCATTCTGTCTTTGGCCCAGTGTTGCCGGGTTTGGTAAAAATTTTGAAGTTTGCATTTGGAGAGACAAGGGTTTCATCTTGTTGAATCACAGGGATGTTTATAATGGGAGGATCTGGTTCATCTCCTGTCTCTGGCCTCTGGCAGCAGGCGCCTGGTGTCTGGCTCCAACCCGAATTCTGGCCGTGGCATCCTGGTTAGAGATCTGCGTCCTGTGTCCAGGGCCTGTGCTTTAGAGTCCAAATGTATTCGGTTGTGTGTCTGCAGTCTTGTACCTCTTAGGATGTGGCTTTGTGTCCTGGGTTCACATGTGAGGTTCACATGCAGATGAACATTCAGGCTTTAGTGTATGGAGTCTGGCATTATAAGTGTCTGATGTCAGTCCCTGGCATCTGGTGCTTGGCCTTTGGACCTCATGGTCTGGCTTGGGTTTGGGGTTTGCAGCTTGGGGCCTGGCATCCTGGTTTTGGTTTGCATCTGCTCCAGGGCCAAGGTTTTGGAGTCAAAGGTCTGTGTCCAGGATCCTGAGTTTGGCTCTGGTGTCTGTCAACAGATGATCATTGTGTGAAATTTAATGCCAATATGAGTCCCTAAATGTATGGAGTTAAGACAGGTTAATAAAAAATGTAGGAAAATTTCTTGGCAAGTGGAATGGGAAAACTGAGCTTGATAGCTAAGTAAGGCCTAGCAATTCATAGCCGGGTAATAAATCTGAGGATCTTATCTTCCCTGAGTAAGGACATTGGAGAGCAAGTGGTTCACACATTCCAGGCCACGCAGGGGAAGACCCACCTCAGTCCCAGCCCTTGTCTGGTGACTTTTCTGAAGGAGAAAGTCACCAGAGAAGGACACTGATCACTCTGTGTGCTCCTGTTGTTGCATGAGTACATCATAGGGCAGCCCTGGAAAGCTGAGTATTGTGTGCAGATGACTCTTCTAAGACCTCCTCTGAAGTCCTCAACGTTAGAAAACTGGTAAAACCCTAAAAAAAGAGCCCAGCGTGCTCTGTTCGTTGAGCACACACGCACCTTCCCTTCTCTTCTTTGCTGCGTATCTCCCTTCCCTTTTTTCCTCCTCATCTGCAAAGGTCCCTGGGACTTGCAGCCAGGGGAGCAGTGGGCAGTTCGTCTGGGCAAACCTCCTGATCCTGTCTCCAAGGACTTTCTTTGCATCTTTCCTGTTTCTCAAGAAGCAGCTCCGCCTATGCTCACTCTTGTTGCTGTGATTGTGCCTCTTCTCTGTGAAGCCCTTTCTTTGTTTCACTGTCCTTACATTTAATATACAGACTCTCAAAATTCCCTAGCTTTGTGTTGTGAAATTTTTATTGCAGGAAATCAAGAATCTACATGTATGAGACCTTGCCAGGGCAAACCTGCCTTGGGTCCCGTACCTTTTCGGTGACAGAATAACAAATTTTGTGTATTCATCTACTTGTGGATGGACATTTGAATACTTTCTAACTTTCAGTTGTTAACAGTGCTGTTATGAATAATCATCTACAAATTTGTTAACATCTGTCTTCAATTTCTCAAGTATGTGTTTTGAAGTGGAGTTAAAACCTGCTTTATGTTTTTAGACGTTAGATGTTTATGTTTCAAGAGTTTACAGGTTTAAATAGGAAAACTCTCTGTGGTATGATGTCCAGAGCCAGGCACCTGGAGTCAGGGACAGGCTTCAGACACCCGGTCTGGTGTCTGGTGCACAGCATGGTTCAGGGTTCGGATTAGGGGTTGGAGTTGCGGCTGATACCATAACTTATCTTTCACCTCATTCAAAACCATTTTGTTATACCGTATCATGACAAATGTCATATCAGCATAAGAAAAACTCATCAAACCCGTTGAGTGTTTGTGTGGCCATTTTCATATTTAAGGCGGATGAACATAGTAATCTTTTTGGTACATTAGGCTTTGGTATTTCAAGAAGGATGAAAACGCCAGTAGACAGAAGAAAAGATTTGTGACACATATGAGAAGGTGTTGTGACAGAGTGAACGTGTCGGGAGTGGTTTGCAGTGTTTTGTGCGGGAGGTTTCTCACGTGGAGATGCCCCGGGGTGAACAGACCAAGTGCAGTGGAGCCATCCAGTCCAGATGTTCCCTGAGGACAGACCACGTGAGGCCACGTGGGAGACGGGCCACACACTCAAAGCACCCGAATCAATTGTTGAAAATCGTTTGCACCAGGATGGTTATGGTCATTGTTTTGGTGTTTGGGTTCCACATCAGTGAGGTGGGGAAAAAACCAACCACCGTTCTTGACAGCATTTCCATGTTGAATTTTCTTTGAAAATATAAGAAAATTCTGTTTCTGTTTGCAAGACAAATTGTGAGGGTGGATGAACAGTTGATACTTTACAATAACATGAAACTGGAGAGATCATGGGGCAAAAGGATGGAACCATCATCTGCCATTCAAAAGGGCGGTCTTCATTCAAAGAAAGTAAATGGTAGGTTAGGGTCAGGGTTGGGTTTAGGTTTAGGGACCCTGTCTGTAGGCCCACACTCACCCTGCCCTTAGTGTCAAACCAACTGTCAGGTTGAAATGAAATGTCCATTTTAAGGCCAGCGCATGGAAAATTAGGTAAGTGGTGGGTGGAAGTGGGGGGTGTAAGTGAGTGGGGCAGGGAGCAGCTGCAGCCGGTCTGTGAGGAGCTGCAAAGGGCGCTCAGACTCTTTGTGGGGTAGGAGTGTGAGGTCTCCATGTAAGTGAGCCATTCCTGTGGGACCACTTCTTGTGAGCACATTACATAGACTGTGTACCAGCCTTGGGAGCACATAACTTCTGGTACCAGTTTAGTGAGCATTGCCAGGGCCAGCCTCACAGGCTCTCAGGAGGCAAAGCCGAGTCTGAAGTCTAGGTGCTTCAGAGGTAAGTGTTGTGAGCTACAAAAACAAGAAATGTTTCACATGACAAGCAAAGACCCTGGGAGGCTTCTCCCATGTCCAAAAGAAGGTAGCTTGTAAATGGCAGGCCCAGGTCACATCACTTTTAGAGACCAAAAGCTTAGGGGTTTCCTTTGTCAGAACAGCTGCAATGCACACGAAGAAGTGCAAATAAGAAAAGGAGCCATTTTGGTCTAAATGGTTAGAATGTTTTCCCTGCTGACTGTCAAGAGACCCAACTGGATGAGTAAAGAAAAGGCTTCTGGTGTCCCCACAACAGTCTAGATTATTATAATTCAATTATTACAAATATTCTATATAGAAGTGTTTATAATTCCCTAAAACTATTCCATGCTTTTCTCTGGTACTTTTTTTTTTCTAAAAATGAAAATGGCTTTGTTGCAGCTTACTGAAACTATACAGAAAAGTGAAGTTAGTTAAAACCCTACTCTAAGAATCATTAACTGCTACCACTTTAAGTGTATCCTCTCCCAGACATCTGTATGTGCACATTTCCTTCCTGCTACTTTCTCTGGATTGGATTCACTACGCGGGGTTCTTTGTGTGGGTTCAGAGCCATTGAAGCGCCAGCTTCTGTCCTTTCCTACTGTGTGCACTGAAGACGGCACGTTTTCCTGTAGCTTTTGGTACGTGGTGGTGCCTTTCAGTTCAAATGATTTTCCGACTGCAATAGTGACTTCTTTGGGGGTTAATTAGAAGCGGGCTTCATAACTCCTAAATACAAGGACTTTCCAGTTACCGTTTCTTACTGAATTCTAGATTAACTGCAATGAGAGCAAGAAATGTTACTGTATATAATTTCTTTTTTTTTGTTCTATTCTCCCTTTATTCCCCTCCACCCTACCCCTCATCCCCACCATTACCCCCCCTTTAGTTTATGACCATGTGTCTCAAGTCCTTTAGATTCTATATTTCCCATGCTATTCTTGCCCCCCCATCTATTTTCTATCTACTGTCTATGCTACTTATTTTCTGTACCTTCTCCCCCCTTCTCCTCCTCCCACTCCCCTGTTGCTAACCCTCCTTGAGATCTTCATTTCTCTGGTTCCACTCCTGATCTAGCTGTCCTTTTAGTTTGCTTTCGTTTTAGGTGTGGTTGTTAATAACTGTGAGTTTGTTGTCCTTTCACTGTTCATGTTTCTTTAACTTCTTTTTCTTAGATAAGTCCCTTCAACATTTCATATAATAAGGGCTTGGTGATGATGAACTCCTTGAATTTGATCTTATCTGAGAAGCACTTTATCTGTCCTTCCATTCTAAATGAAAGCTTTGTTGGATAGAGCAATCTTGGATGTAGGTCTTTAGATTTCATGACTTGGAATACCTCTTTCCAGCCCCTTCTTGCCTGGAAGGTCTCTTTTGAGAAATCCGCTGACAGTCTGATGGGGACTCCTTTGTAGGTGACTTTTCCCTTAGCTCTTGCTGCTTCTAGGATTGTCTCCTTCATTTTAATCTTGGCTAATGTAATGATGGTGTGCCTTGGTGTGTTCCTTCTTGGGTCCAATGTCTTTGGTACTCTCTGAGCTTCCTGGATTTCCTGGAAGTCTATTTCCTTTGCCAGATTGGGGAAATTCTCCTTTATTATTTGTTCAAATAAGTTTTCCACTGGTGGCTGTGCCTTTCCCCCTTCTGGTACCCCTATCATTCGGATGTTGGAGCGTTTAAAGATGTCCTGGAGGTTCCTAAGACTCTCCTCATTTCTTTGAATTCTTGCTTCTTGACTCTAGTCTGTTTGGCCATTATTTGCTTTCTTCTGGTCCACTCCATTGATCTGAGTCCCAGTTTCCTTTTCATCGCTATTGGTGTCCTGTGCAGTTCCATTCATTTCAATTAGTTTCGCCTTCATCTATTTGTCTAATTTGTCGGTATAATCAACCAGTTCTGTGAGGATCCTGATCACCAATGTTTTAAACTGTGCGTCTGTGAGTTTTGCTATTTCTTCATCGCTTAGATCTATTGGCTCTGGGGCTCTGAGATCCTCCTGCGCCATTCTTGGTCTGTTCAGGCCTTTAAATGTGAGAAGCGGCACCTTGGACTCCCAGGTGGCTGGGTTGTGACGCTGTATGTGGGGGCG